CAATCAAATGTATAGATAATATCTAAGAGATAGAGGTATTGAATCATTCTGATAAATGTTATAAATTATTTTACCATTAGTATTGTTATTATTTTCTCTTATTTATACAAAAAAAAAAATTATCTCTTACTAACATGAGGCAATAATGTTATTATTTGTATTTTTTTGGATTTTATTTAAAGAAAATATCATATTTTTAGTAATGGTTAAATTACAAGTAGCTGAAAAGATGATATTTTAATATGCATTATACCCACTTATCAAATTTTAAATTACTACCCATGCAGTATCTTATTTTTAATAACTTTAATTAATAAAAAAGGAAAGTTATGCATATGAAAAGTTAGGTTTATTTACCCCTAATAATTTATTATTTTACTTTAATTGAAATTAATGGAATTCAAAAGGTATTGGAATCTCAAAAGATTTTCAGTACATATATGAGTTCCTCCCTTCTTCCTCCTACCATAATTTAGCTATCTTCGTTCTTTTCATTTATTGATCAATTGTTTTAAATTTTATGCTTATAGATTTAGTAGTGTCATATTGTATGATAGTATAGCACATTGAGTATCTCTATTTATAAGAATTGCAAGATAACGTTGTTTATATGTAAAAGTCATTGAATCTTATAATTTGATCTCAAACATCAATCAAAGGTGGGCAATACTTGAGAAATCCAAGTATTTAATCATTCCATAAATGTTATAAATTATTTTACAATTAGTATTGTTATTATTTTATTCAGAAAAAAAAAGTTATCTCCCACTAACATTAAACAATGATGCTATTATTTTTTTTTTTTGCATTTTATTTAAAGAAAATAGCATATTTTTAGTAATTGTTAAATTAAAAGTAACTAAAAAATGATATTTTAATATGCATAGGAATATTTTGTTTAGAAATATTATGTACACCGACTTAGAAATTTGTTAAATTAAAACTCTTTTATGTATATTTCTATCAATTATTTATCATAACTCCTTAAAATGAATATAACAAATTAAGAGTCGATTAAAATAAATATTATATAATTATTAGAATATAATAATTTTTTATTATAGTAATTATTATATTTATTAATTAAATACACAAATATAATACGTAAATTAACTTATAAATATAAAATTATGAGTATCTATTGTTTTAAATAAAAATGGATAAGTTCCCAATGCTAAAAATTAGGGAAAAAAATCAATCCTATTTTTATTAAGTAAAATATAATGCTTGGAAAATCAATTTTTAATAAATTAAATTTTAAATGCACCAAATAAATGTATATAATTTTTAAAGGGAAAAGTTCTGCTTAATTATGAAAAGTTCATTTTTTATATTAATATTATTTTTTCTAGAATATTTGTTTTGGTTTTGAAATTTCTTAGCTCAATGTAAAATTTTTATACTTTTTTTCTAGAATATAAAGTAGATTTTTCTTCCAACATCATTTCACCAGCCATATAATTCTATGAATTTATAAATATTTTTAAAAAAATTTTACTTTTGATATATTTTTTATATTTTATTAATTTTTTTATTAGTGAAAAATTAAATTAAAAAATTTTATGTGCATAAGAATCTTTTATATCGTTTTTTGTATGTGATCGTAGATGGGAAGGATCAAGAGAGTACTCATACATGATCCACGAAAAATAACCACAATCTTGACCATTCTCATAATGAAAATGTTTCATAGTACCCAATATGGTCTTGTCTTAAGAGTGAGTGGAAGAAAATATTTTAGTGGGTGATGTTTCAGCACTCCAAGTGGCAACAGTTGGGGCAATAACTTTTCCTAATAAAGTACTTATGGTTTAGGCCCGGCCGGAGAATTTAGCATAACCTAAGCACCCTCATCATCTACCTCGTCTCGATAATATGCATTAAATAAGATAAAGTCATTTACACTTATAATATAAGCTAATTTTTTTTTAAATATAGAATATTCTATCTACTCAAGTTGAATGCTGATGCGATCTCAAAGTATTCAAATCAACTGCCACGCATAAGTAGGTGTCAAAAAGAATATTACCACACAGAAAGAGGTCTCGTCTCATGTCATTCACGTTTGTGATTTGGATGATCTTCCGTAGGAACTTTTTTATCACCCTCAACATTCTTTAACCAATTTCAAAGAACATAAGAATCTTTTATATCGTTTTTTGTATCTAATAGTAGATTGGAAGGATCAAGAGAGTACTCATACATAATCCACGAAAATTGACCACAATCTTGACCCTTCTCATAATGAAAATCTTTCATAGTACCCAGTATGGTACTATGGTCTAAGAGTGACTGGAAGAAAATATTTTAGTGGGCGATGTTTCAGCACTCCAAGTGGCAACATTTGGGGCACTAACTTTTCCTAATAACGTGAGTACTTATGGTTTAGGCCCGTCCTAAGAAGTTAGCATAACCTAAGCACCTTCATCATCTACCTCGTCTCGATAATATTCATTAAATAAGATAAAGTCATTTACACTTATCATATAAGCTAAACTTTTTTTTAAATATAGAATATTCTATCTGCTCAAGTTGAATGCTGATGTGATGTCAAAGTATTCCAATCAACTGCAAAATTATAAATATGTGAAAATTATAGATAAAAATATAAAAACATGAAAAATTATGAATAAATATGAAAACTACAAAAGTTACAAAAGATAATGTTAATAACAAATAAACTCGTATCATCTATAAAAGATACTCCTCAATACCATTTATTCTCAAAACTATAATATTTTTGTATATTGGTAGATTCCACATCTTCACGTCAATCTAGTTATCTCCTTTTTTCATCAGTAAACACTACATTATTGTCTTAAAAAAAAAAATATTATAACATCTATATAAGAAAGTTAGATGACTGCTCCAATATCATTGATTATCAAAACCATAATCTTTTTATATATTTGCAGGTTCCATGTCGTTGTTGGAGATAATCAATTTGACTCCATTTGTGTTGTACCATAAGAAAAAGTTAAAATTTTATTTATGGTTATTATTAATGAAAAATAATTCACATATTTCAACCTTGAACATAAAAGTCCATTATTTAAATAAAAAATAAATTCACATTTTTCAACCTTAACCATAAAAGTGGAAATAACTAATTGACTAAGTAGCTTGAATGTTGCGCTAACTTCGACATTCACGAGATGAGTGAGGGAGAGTGTTAGGAATATACATGAAAATTTTAAGCTTAAATTATAAGCTTGGTCGATCAAACTTTCAATTTTGATACCTAATAAAGCCTTGAATTTTAAAAAGTGTCCAACACATCCAAAACTTACAATTTTGTGTCTATATCTTTAATCGTTCAATTTTGTATCTAATAAGTTTGATCTATTATTAGATACTTTTTAAATATCTAGTAGATATAAAATTTAAAACAAAATTAGACATAAAATTGAAATTTAACTAACACGCGCAAAAGTTTATGAACCAAAATTTTTAATCAAGATTAAATACCTTACACTATCAACTTAAGCTTCTGTGTTTGATGGTAGCTGACTATTATTTTCAGTTTTTACTTATTCTTCTTTTTTTTTTCTTTTTTTTCATAAAAATAACTCCCTCTCTTAAGGATTAAGTTAGAGCGAGAGCGAGGGATATCCAAATGCAAGAGAGATATGAGCTACAATATAATATATACCAACAATACAATGCAGAGAGATATGAGCTAGCAAAGATCCGAGCGATAGTAAAGATAAAAGCAGCGACTGATATAAGCATGGAGAGATATGAAAGTAACAAGAGAGATACAAGTAAAGAACAGTAAAAACGTGAGAGGAGGAGGGTCAACCATTTCAAGTTGGGAAAAAAAATTGGATTCAAGATTTTGATTTTGTGATGAGAAAAAAAAATGAAAAAGAAAAAACAGAGAAAGAAAAACATGAAAGAGAGAAAAATTATTAAAATTAAATATTTCGATTTTGGGAGCAGAGGAAAAAAAAGGAAAGAAATAAGACAATGAGAGAGAGAGAGATAAATTATTAAAATCCAAGATTTTGATTTTGAGAGGAAAAAAAAATTGAACTCAAAGATTTTGATTATGAGAGGAGAGAAAATGAAAGAAAATTATTAAACTCAAGATTCTAAATTTGAGGGGAGAAACGAAAAGGAAAAAAATTGAAAAGAAAAAGATGTGAAGAACAATGTGAGAGAGAAAGAGAAAGGAGGAGCAAAATGTAATTTGAAATAGGGGACATAAGTAAAAAGTTTGAAAAAGTTTTTCGAAAAGCAAACAATTTCTTAAGCATTTACGAGTCTTATTAATTCTACTTACCACCGCTAAAAAATTCACAACTATTTATTATATTCTCTCTCTTTATATATTCATTCCTGCCATCATTAAACTTTTGACAAATTGTTGAAGAAATTGTTATTAGTAGTCAACCTAAAGATAGGTGTTAGATCGGTTGACATTTAAGTATGGTTTAAAATTAAAATTACAAGGAAATTTTTTTTTTATTAGTAGTCAACATAAAGATATGTGTTAGATGGGTTGACATTTAAGTATGGTTCAAAATTAAAATTACAGGAAAAAAAATTACTTCTAATTTTATCAAATTCCACCTTTTTTAAGTATTAATCTGTCTAAACTTCCTTTAGCTTTACCTCACCTGGGGTTTTCATTTGAATTGTTGTTAAAATATATATATCAAATCCATTCAATATGAATTATAAAATATATATTCGAATAAAATGGATAGAATTTCAAAAGAAAAAATTATATTTTAGCTTTTTTAAAAAAAGAAAAAAATACAAGCTTTAGCATAGTTATCCATAGTCATTGATCAAGCTTAATTACTTATTAAAATTAGTGGGTGAACTAACAAAAATTCCATTGATAATAAAAATTACTAACACTTGTCAAAAGTGTAGGATCCAATTTAATTCTAAAAGTTTGAAGTTGATTTTCTTTTTTCTTCCTTGTTACTCAAATGTTGAGGGGTAGAAGGAGCGACTAAAGATTCATATCCTACGAAAAGAAAAGAGGGTTACAAGTAAATTTTTGCGAGCATATAATTCAACTCRTTAAAGTTTTAATAACCTTCTTAAAGATGGTAAGTTCGATTCCCGCTACTTATTCAAACAAAAAAGATAACAAAAGAAAAGGTAGAGCCTCCAACTCAACAACACCTGTACAATAAATATAAATCAACCAACTTTGTCAACTCTGTTTGATCAAATTCTTCTCTTTTCTCTTGTTCCATATCATAACCAGAGAGAATCCCATCAAGGACATCATCACAGTCTGAAAATTATCAAAAGGGGAAAAGAACGAACAAAGTTTTGTTAAATTTTTCATTGTGATGGGAATGATGCAAATAAACTGGAATATGGTACAATTGTGACAAGCATTATAAAAAATTTTGGGACAATCTGATCAAATCTTATATTGGTCCTAAATTTTCATTCTCCGTCTATATTTATCTATAAACTTTCAAACATTTCATTTTAGTTCTTGAACTTTGCCTAAAAAAAATCAAGTACAAATCATTTTAGTTATTGTTATTAAGTTTCTTAATAACAGCCGTGTTATCATTAAATGATTAATAATATAGAATCAATTAGTTTTTTATCCAAGTTCAAAAACTAAAATAGGAGAATTAAAATGGACTATTTGAATGTTTAGGGACCAAGTAGAATCTAAACCTATCTTTTATAATGGCCTTGATTTGGATTAAATCATCACAATTTGCTATATGTAGAGTGTAGACAGACATCACATCACATTTCAACATTACAGGTTTAAAGAACAGAGAAAATAACTCACTGAGATTGCAGGGGGCACGCCAACAAGTGGATCCTGGAAAAACCTGTTTGCTAGAGCAAGGGCAAGGAGACTACTTTGCATTCCTACAGAAAAAAAAGGGAAAGTTTATCAACTCGTTATTTTTTTAATGAGAAACCGAGCTTTTATTTGAGCAAAATGAAACATTGTATTCTTTTGGATATTCAACTTCTGAAAAATGGTCAAACCTGTTTCAAAGGATAGCGTTCTCTGCAGTGCTCTCACATTAGGCACCCGATGGAACACAAGACCAGTCAATGCATAACCAACTACGAATGCAGATAAATGAAACGCTACAATGAGCAGTAATATGGCAAATCCAAAAGGGGAAATGACAGAGTTGATGTTAATAGCAAGCGGAGCTCCAACACAACAAGCTGTCACCAATACCGAAAGCGGAGGCAAAAAGGGCCGAATTGCATCACAAATCCGAGGAAAGAACCTGGGAGCATAAACATATAAGATAATGTCAACCACTCATCAGATGACATTCTGAATATAATTATCAAAAAAAGTTTCATCACCGATTGAGAAGCAAGCCTGCAGCAATTGGCGCAACTACAATCTGTGTAATACTAGAAATCATCCCTTTAACATCAACTGGAAGTCTCTTCCCAATGAGCAATAAAGATAAAAATGGTGTGACAAAAACAGCGGTAGCAGTGGATAACGATGTCATAACAACGCTCAAGGGAGCGAGGCATGGATCAGTTAAAAAGGTGGCATAACTTGAGAGTTGCGCCCCACTAACACAAGAGACCAACATAATCCCGGCACCTGATGGATTTATTGACAAGATCAAGGTTAGATTTCTCCGAAGTCCAAACAGTTTGATATAGGTTGAGTAAGCTAACTCCCACCTATGGCAGTGGGAAGACCAAAAAGGGTCACTGTGATCGTCCCAAACAGATAACCAAGAAGCGGCTTCACAAAAAATTGGCCCACATAACCAGCAAAAATGGCTGCTGGTTGCTTGAATGCTTCAAGGAAATCGTTTTCACTGGAATTTACCCCAACTGCAAACATCAAAAACCCTAATGCAGGTGCATAGTACCTGTAAATGAACTGACATATATTCAGAAGATAGTCAATCTTTCAGCAAAGACAAAGCAATGTATTTGTCAACCAAGCTCACTTTAACTAATCTTTATCACCTGCTAGTAAACCATGCAAAAGACGGCGGAAAGATAAGGGCAATTAGTGTGCTGGCAAGAACCACATGAGGCAGGAGAGAATTTGATTGTTTCAGAATCTCCACAATTGTAGATTTCTTTTGCTCAAGCATCTAATGAAAAGGAAAATTAGTTCCCACAGCTACGTTAGAGAGACTTCATGTCGACATTTGTTACTATTTAAATAACTTTGAAATCAGCCCATACTGAATTAGGATAGACTAATAAAAATGGACAATTTTAGTATAAAAGATTATGCATGTCTAATTTTTATTTTTGTGGTGAAAATAAAGTTATGTTATACTCTAAGATAATGGCAATCTTTAGTTTCACGAATTAAGCGCCCATCTAACAAAGATTTTGTTTTTAATTTTTAGTTTATAAAAATTATGCTTGTTTTACCAACGATTCTTTTGTTTGCTAATTTTACTTCAAAGAAAATGTTTCAAATCCAGGCCAGATTTCAAAAACTAAAAAACTTAGTTTTCAAAAATGTTGCATAAATTTCAAACAATTTTTTGAAAATGAAAAACTTGATCTCATTTGATAGCCTAGTTCAAAGAGTATCCAGCTGATGCATTAATTAATTATTAATGTAATCAATAATGTACTAACTTTTTAGTCTAAATTATCATGTAGGAGTTAGATGAGAAAGTCACTCAACTATAGTTGGTATAGCTTGAGCTGGAGAATCTTTTGTTCAACCACCTCTGAATTAGTCTATTTTAATATGGCTAAATGTCTGAAATAGCTAGGGTGCACCTCGACTAATCTCATGAGACAACTATCTGACCCCATGCAATTTGGTTGCCAAAAAAACTCAAGGATTTCTAATATCCTAGGTTGTTAGCTACCATGACGTTTGAACTCATTCCTTCTAAGTCATTTATTTTTTCATTGGTCTCAATAACCAACGGAACAACTCATGGTGACTAACCCTCTCAAAAATTTCAACAAGGGAATATACATTTGAAGTAGTTTGATGATTTACAAAAGCTGAGTTTCTACTTTCTTCCCAGGGAGAGTTAAATTAACTTTCTCACTTCTAAAACTGCTGGAGCTAACCCAATTACCCAGGGAGAGAAGAGAACTATAGATCTTCATCCTACGTTTTACAAATTCCACTTCCTGTTGTAATACCAATCTTGTTTTCAACACTTCCCCGCAGACATTCTTTCTGTGAGACCCATAATACCAAGAAAGAGGAAAGAAAATGCTTATTTCTGACTTCCAGTTGTTTTATCCATTATTTTATAAAATGCTTTAAGGCAACATGGGACCATGAAGACCGAGCACCAGAGAGCCTATTTTTTAATTATTCCTTCAAGAGATTACTAAAAAAATTTATCTGGATTCTTTCATCTTCCTTTTCTCCCACACTTCTTGTCAAGATACTAAACTTCGATGATTTAAAAAAATGAAAAATAAAAAATAAAAAGATGTTGTTCTAACTCCTGCTGCAACCTTCCTTTAAAAATCCAAAAAAGGCAAAAACAGACCCCGTATCTTTTCCTAAATAGCACTTTCCAGTACAATTGTTTATCTATGGCGAGTTAAATATCTGTCACAACCGAAGCACTTTCGAGTTTTCTCAAATGTCTTTAGTGCCACGATTTAGAAATTAGAATTCAATCAACCTTACACATTGCTCGGAACACTTCGTATGAATCTCCTTTCATCTCAATTACCATGATAATGTAATAAGCATAACGAATTAGTACTGAGTACTGATGATAAAGATATTTCTACTTAACAAAAACATCACCTGAGACGAACTGTTCGAAGAATCTTGATCCAGCCCCGAAGATTCAGAACATTTATCCGGTACGCATCTAGTACCGATCGAGAATCTGGAGCTCCAGTCTGCAGAAACTCAATCAATCGGCTTAATAAACACGCAAGCACATGAAATTAAGAACACAAGTAGAATGAAATCAATTTCTGCGAAACTCACGCCAAGTGCTCGAACAACGAACAGAAACTCCATTAATCCGCGGCGGCAATCGCTGAGACGGCTTCAAAATCGAATGATGGCGAGGAGAAATACGCGATGTGAACTCCAATTGAGAGCGATGGAGACGCTGAATCTGCAAGTTCTTCCCAGAAATACTAGAACTCAAATTCATTCTCTCTCTCTCACAGAATTTTAGCAGTGAAGAGAGAGGGAGGGGTTAGAGCTGGGAAGATGACAATCGAGTGAGTTGACAAATTTATTGTATTGAAATCAGTTTTTTTTTTCTTTTTTCAGTTACAAACTTACAATACAAATGAATTCTTTTAAATGGACTTTAATGGAATTGATTTCTTAATAAATGATCGTTAAAATACTATTTTTATTTTCGATCTCTTTGCTCTCAAAACGTTCATTTTGGTCGTGTACTCTCAACGTTGATTCGTTTTAGTCTCTCTACTTTCAAAATGTTCTGTTTGGTTCTACACTTTTAAAAAGCGACCATTTTGGTTCATATTTTCAAGTTTTTGACACAAATTCTATACATAATAGAAACTTATTAATATTAACTCATTGTTACATTTCAAGAAATATATTGAGTATAGTATCGTGTTAAATTGAGATAAAAAAATGAGATTAGAAATAAAATTAAAAGACAGGTTCTTTTTAAAAGTAAAATGACCAAAGCGAGTATTTAAAATACAACTAAAATTAACCAAAGTTCAAAGTATAGAGACTAAAACGAATATTTTAAAAATACATGAATTAAAATGAATCATAATTGAAAGTATAGAGACCATAATGAACATTTTGAAAATTAAGAGACAAAAATAAATACTTTGAAAGTTAGAGGATCAAAATGAACTCAAGATAAAAATACATAACTAAAATATTATTTTAAATATAAATAATTTTCTTGTTGGGTCAATAAACTAAATATAGATTAAATATTACCAAAACGAGCATAGCTTAGCGATAATTGACATATATCTCCAACAATAAGGTTGTGAGTATAAAAGGGACACTTCACCCTATGTATCAGGTATGCAAGAGAACGATTTATTATAGTTTGAGCTCACTCTAACTTGGTCGTCAGAGTTTTTGTTTTCCTGTGCAGGTTCAACTGTCACGTGAGGTCGCACCACGACAGCTCACTCCAGTTAGCTCGTAACTGACCTGTGGAGCTCGATGGAAATCTGCATCAACAAATTATTATGTTTAATTTCAATTGTTTGATAAAAGATTTTCAAAAGTGGTTTTATCTAAAAAAAATTGTTATAATTATTTTTAAAAGGTTATAAAAATCGAATTTTATTTCAATATAATAATAAAATAAAATAAGATATAAGAAACGTATAACTGAAAATTTAAAGTTTTGTTGGTGAAGGCGACAAATTTTTAAGTTTTTGTTAGAGAAGGCAACAAATTTTTAGAGCCGTTAGATCTCTTTTTCTTTCTTGCTTTTTTTCTTTTGACTATATAAAAATCTCAAAAGTGGCTATGAATAAGATTTTGCATGTTGAAGTCAGGGTTCAAAATGTCGTTTGACATGTCGATCTTCTTTTTTTTTCCTCTTCTTCTTTTAAGGTTATTTTATTTTCATCTTAGTCTGTTAAGTGAAACATTCGCATTTTAATACTGTATAAAGTATAACGAATAAGATTTGAAATTTGCTTTATTGATAGTTTCTAATCCAATCTAGTCTTTAGTTACACAATTAAACAATATATGTGAAATATTGACATATATAAAGATTGAAATAATCTTAAAATTTTTAAAAAATAAAATATTATTATATATAAATAGTCGTGAAACAGGAAGTAAAATAGGTAACTTAATTACTACCAAAAGATGATCTCGGAGGATATAGTGCACTATCTTGATAACTTTGATATAAATTACAATAGTTCTCCCAAGTCATCATAGACTGAAAGTTTTGGAGGTAGTTGCTCAAAGTAGAATATGAAACACATATAGATTCTATTAGTAGATAATTTGTATGAATGACACAATCACGAGGTTGAGGTGTTTGGAAATTGTGTAAATTTGATTGGAAAGTTGGATTTATGATTGATTTGAAAATGTGTTTGAAAAATGTGTAAATTCAAATTTGAAAAGAGAAGTAGGTAAAAAGTAAACATGTACGAGTTAATTAAAATTTAGAAATGTGTTGGAAACCAAGTTGTTAATTATCTCATTTCCAAATGAATAATGTTACGAAAAACATAAAGAAGTAGTCAAAAGTTTACAATTAAAGTTTACTTTACATATTCAAATAATTTCCATCAATCTTCATCAAAGGAAAAAATCTTTTTTCGATATTTTCATCGACATCGACATTTTCATAAGTAAAATGGTCATAGTCTTACATTTAATGTTAAAGGTGATCAATTATAGGCTAATTAAGCTACAATTCAAGTTTTATTTGCTAATACAAAAAAAATTCCATCAATTTCTATAATTTCCATTATTTTTTCCGAAATATCCATCGACATCGACATGTCCATCGATATATCTGTAAAATCTGGACCTTGACATTTTCATCGACATCGACATTTTGAACACTGGTTGAAGTAAATTTGAAAATAATTTTCTGGTAAAAAAAATACATGTTGGAGGCGAATCCTAGCCTGCCACGTGTCATGATCCAAAAGGTGAGTTAGATGAACACGCGGACAAAATATACAAAGTGGCTCCAAAGTACTCAGGTCGGCAGACAGGGTAGGACCTAAAGCGCCGAGCCGACCTGAGACAAAGTCCGTAACAATGTCCCTTCCGTACCCGACAACACGCCGCGATTTTAGGGTGTGTCAGAACTCCTGTCGGGCCTAGTTTCTATAAATAGAAACTTTAGCCTTAAATGCAAGGGACGCAATCTTAAGTAGACTCGGCAAGTTAGCTCGGACCATAACTAACTTGCTCGTTGGAGTGCTAACTTTGTTTTGCAGGTCTCAAGAGTGTTCAGGAAAGGTACGGGACCGTTGGCCATAGATCGTCCTAAACGTACCGATCTAAGTCGTATCCGAGCTCATCAATTTCGAGTTCAAACAATACAAAATAATTTTTATTATAAATTAATAATTAATCACATTTATCAAACTCTCCGTTAAAATTCTAAACAATCCTAAACTTGCCTTATAGAAATAAATGAAGTTTGTATTTATGAGATTAATTCTTTACAAAAAAAAAATGTTATTATGATTTATTAACTAATAAAAATACGAGGATCTGAACCTCCAAAGATTAAGATAACGAAGAAGAAGTCATATGTCTTTACCATTTATATATTACATTTACCTCTAAAATAAACTTCAATTTAATTATATAATATCTCAATTATTTAGGGCCTGTTCCATAAGTTTTCGTTTTCTATTTTTGGTTTTTTATTTTTAGTTTCTTTTTTAAATAGGAGGGTTTGATAACCAATTCAATTTTTTATTTTTTATTTTTCAAAAATCATTTTGAAATTCTACGTAAATCTCAAAAAAAAAAAAAAAAAGTTTTCAAAATCATATGTTTTTCAAAATTTGTTTTTTTCTTCTAATACTCGACTTTCTTTTTCTTTCTCGTATTTATCTCTAAAAAATTCCTTTTCACTCTAAAATGTGTTTCTTTCTAAATTTTTTTCTCTCTAAAATTTTCGTAAAAATCAATAATATTTCCCTTTTTTTTTCTTTTTGTGATTTGATAACATAAAAATATAATCCAATAAGAATGCTATCATTTATATAAATTTCTTTTTAGAAAAAGTGAAAAGTTAAAATTGGAATTAATAGTTATATATTAAATATTTTATAAAAGTATCAAATTCTACGAAATAACGTTTAAATAACATTTGCAAGAAAAAAAATAATATAAACTAAAAAAAAATCCTATTTACAATAAAGACATAAAAGTCAATATATAAACTACATGAATATTTTTTTTCTTCCTAATTTGAGCCTCACGTCGAGGAAAGGAGGAAATAGATGTCAATTACTCCTTAACTATGCTCATATTCGCAACTAGATNTTTTTAGTTTTATGTTAAAAAAAAAACAAAACATATATTGTTTTTTGTTTTTAAATAACAAAAAACTCAACATGTTTGGTAATCATTTTTAGTTTTCTGTTTTTAAAAAGTTAGAAAATTGAAAATATATATTAGAGAGAAAATTTTATGTAAAGTAGAGATGACAATGGTGTGGCGCGGGAGTAGAATGTCCTGTCACATCTGCTCGTGAAAAATTTTAGTCCCCGTCTCCACCTTGTTTTTCGGTCCGGGAATTGAGATCCAAGTTAAAGAATACTTATTTGGGGACGGGGATATTCGTGGGAAAAATTACCGGTTTTATAATTAATTTTAATTATTTTTAGAATTTAGAAAATAAAAAGTGTAATAAATGTATATTAATTAGTTTTAGAATTATTATTTACTAGTATAAATAATTAGTTTTAAAAAAATATTTAATATTTTATTCACAATTTAAAAAAAAATAATTAGTGAAAGAAAAAAGTTAAAGACAAAAATTTTAGAGAGGAAGAGTGAAGTTGAGAGGAAAAGATACGTTAAAAAAAACGAATTAGAAAGAAAAAGAAAAATGGTTGTAAGAAAAAAAAATAGAGATAAAAACAAGATTTGAAATATACTTGTCAGAAAAAATAAATAAATACAAAGAGAAATACAAATTATAGTGAAAGAAAATTGAATTTGTGTACCGACGAACGGAGGGACATGCAAAAGAGATAAACATTTATGACACTTAAGTCAGTACTTATTTGACATATTGCTCGAGAAAGAATAGTTTCGGGTAGCTAAAAAGTGTAACAGCTTATCTATTTATAGAAATGTGCTTCCAACAGGACCTTCGACAGTGTTACAACGACTCTCTGATAGCATAAAGAATCACGGTGTGTTGTTTAAGATTCTGTTAGAGGTTTGCGCCTGCAGATGCTCTTTAAGGTCGGCTCATTCGTTGAGAAGGTCGGCCGATGTAGAGAATATGGGTTGGCTCGGCATCACTTGCATAGCTGTAGGAATCTTCCGAGCGATGAGTCACAAGCTTGATTCTACCAATCATTTAGATGAAGAGTAACTCTTATGATGTATCCATCGTCGACACGTGACAATCAATAGTTTTTCTCCAACATACTCAATTCTAAACCCCCTAACATAATCAAGTAAATAAAAAATACTAAAGAAAATTGAACGAGAAAATAAGATATAGTTTTCAAATGAAAAATAGATTAGGAAGAGAAGGAAAAGTAATTTTAGAGGGAGAAAAATTTATGAAAATATTAAATTTTTAGAGAGATAAATGAAAGTGATTTGTTATAACGAAAATGAAAAAAAATAAAAATACATAGTGATGAAAAATTTGAAGAGATAGAAATAATGATAAATATTAAAATATTAAAATTTTAGAGAGAAAAAAATAAATTTTTAGAGATATATTTATGAAGAAAAAAATTTAGAGTGATAAAGAAATTTGTTAGAGATAAACATGTGAAAAGAAAAAAAAATGTTAACTATGAGAAGAAAAAGAAATGAGATTTTGAAAAACAAAAATCTATTTTTGAATTTTTTTTCTCAAATTCATCAAACGCGTTGTTTTTCAAAAAAAAATTAAAAACCAAATATCAAAAACATAAAACGAAATATTAAAATGACCCTTAAAAATATTTTGAAACATCGTTATAAATTTTCCTACAGAATAAACATAATATCTTAAACACGTTAAGTATCCAACATTTCTATTATTATTTTTAGACATGCGAATTAGTTGACATTCCTAATTATTTCACTTATTTATTTATATCAAATAAGCCAACCATGAATGAAATTAATGTGGTTGGGGCTTGCCTTTTTTAACTTGGTCTCTAAAATTTTAAATATTTTAATTGAGTAGGTATGATTTAACTCAAATTCACGGATAGTTCGTAATCCAATTTTTATATAACCAAAAACTCCCTTATTTTTCCTACTATTAACCAAGAAAATGATCAACGTTTCGTAGTTCGAACTTAGTGTACCGACGAACGAAGGGACATGCAAAAGAGAGAAACATTTATGACACTCAAGTCAATATTTATCTGACCTATTGCTCGAGAGAGAATACTTTCACGTACCTAAAAAGTGAAACAACTTATCTATTTATAGAGATGAGCTTCCAACAAGACCTTCGACAGTGTTACAACGACTCTCCGACAGCATCGAAAATCACGGTGTGTTGTTTGAGATTCTGTTAGAGGTTTGCGCCGACATAAGCTCTTTAAGGTCGACTCGTTCTTTGAGAAGGTCGGCTGATGTAGAGAATATGAGTTGGCTCAGCATCACTTGCTGAGCTGTAGGAATCTTTCGAGCGTTGAGTCACACGCTCGATTCTTCCCATCATTTAAATGAAGAATAACTCTTATGATGTATCCATCGTCGACATGTGGCAATCAATAATTTTTCTCTAACATACTCAACTCTAAACCCTAACATAATCGAGTAAATAGAAAATACTAATGTCATGTACATATAAAAAGGTGTTAGGTATTCAATACGACAACTTATAATATGAACAGATTTTTAAGTTTGACCAAACTAAAACTAAGTCTAAAAACTAAATCAGTAACACAACATTTTTTTTTTATGAGTCCCTTAGCAAAACAAAATTTGCCAAAAAACTCGAAATATTTATTACGCGTATAGTTTCACCTTGTGTAAATAAACGACAAAATATGACTACATCAAAATTCTGTTAACATGAATTGTTAAAAAAATTAAAATAATTTTTTACGCTGAGCCATAAATTAAGGTAAAATATTCCAAAATTAAGAAACTGATAGACAGTTTAAAATTTTAAAAAGTAATATATAATTTAAATTAATATTTAAATAAACATAGTCATTAATAATCAGATTAATCAAAATTATAGTGTACCATTAATTAATTTAAACTACATTATTGGTTCATTATTACTTTGTACAATTAAAAAAATCCATTATTTTATAGAGTAGTATAATTTTTGAATTTTTTATTTGCAATTTTTGTCCTCATAAAGAAAAAGCGAAAAAAAAAAAAATTAAAAATGTCTTTTCCAGTCGCCGTCACCGTCAACACCGCCCACAGAAACTAGACGTTAAACTCTCCTTATCCTCAAATGCGCGGCGCCCAATTTCCCCCTCGAAGAATAATTAAATAAGGACTGATTTAAATTATTTATTTTAGTTCTGTTTATTTTGATTCATATATTTTTAAATTTTGTTTATTTTAATATTTGTATTTTAAAAATTTTCATTTTGGTTCTTTTACATTTTAAGTAGTGATTTGACACTTATTTGAAAAATTGTGTGGAATGAAATATTTTAATCAATTTCTACATTTAAATAACTTTAGTGGAGGATAAATTGTCATGCTAAAATTATGAATCAAATAAATAATTAAAAAAAAAGACCTAAATAGTAATTTTTGAACCATCATGAGTGGTTCATTTGGTCAAAAGGGGCTAGGGTTAATTGAGAGGGAATGAGTTCAAATCCCATGCCGACCACCTACTTTAGGAATTGGTACGTTTTGAACAAAGTACGTAAACCTAAAATGAACCGACGTTCAATTTAAACTATTAATTTCTTTTAATACAACATCTATGTATAGTCTTTTAAAATTTCAACTTAAAAAAAGAAACTATTTTTGTCATTGTAATTATTATACCACAAAAAATTCACACACTCAATAACTGTCTCAACTTATGTACCTATAACTTCTACTACATGTACCAAAATATTTACTCTACCTTATAGATAAAGTAACGTTAGGGACCAATGCGACCTTTGTTTTTTTTTTTGTTTTTATAAAATTAATGTACTAAATAACTTTGATACTTTTCTAAAAAAAAAAGATTAAAAAAAAAAGAAGAAAAAAGCTTTGATATGATCATAGGACTACCAACTCTACCTCAAAGGTCCATCACTCCAAGGCGTTCATTGTCAATTTATTAATAATATCTTATGTTTTTTTTTTTTGAAAATAATAATATCTTATGTTCACAACACAAAGATGATAGTATAAATATCTACATAAATGATGTCACGTTGACCATATTATAATATCAAAACTTTAGATATTATATTAAAAACGAAAATAAAATTTTGGATTTAAAATTAAAAATTCAACCATAATAAACAAATAGAAAAGTACACAAACCATCCTAAACTACACAGCTTAGTTACAATCACAAAATCAAACTTCCAATTTAATCACCATTTTCTAAGCTTATGAATTGTTACAGTCAAATCCATAAATATTTCAAAGCATACAAATCATCCTTAAACTATGAGATTTTGATGGTGTACCTTAAAATATAAGATTGTTACAATTTTACTCGATTTTGTTTAGCTCTATAAAATTTAAAAACCATAATATTAATCATTGAAAATTTAGTTTTCATATATATTTAAATGTTGACCAGATATCTTAATTTATAAAAAGAAATAATCAATTAAAAAAATTAAGTTTGAGATTGATTGTAACAATATTTATAATTTTTTTTGCAACAATTTTATATATTTTAGGGATGATTCAGCAAATTAAAAGATGATGTAAATGTAACAACTTTTATTGATTAAAGATAAAGATGATATTTGTTTTGAAAAGAAAGAAAAATGGTTTTTGCAAATTTTCCATAAATAAACGAGGAGATGATGAAACACGGTCCGAAGCTGTGGAGTCCGGAAATTCGAACGCGTAATAAGTCTAATCTCACTGACCGTGACGCCGAAGCCACGACAGACAACAGAACCAACCAATTAAATACACACACCTGTCACGCACGCCCTCCGAACTCCTCCACGTGCGAAACAGTGGCAAAGTCGTAATTTCAATTCCTTTCCCAAGAAAATCCCAAATCCCAAACAACGGCAATGTTTTCTTCATTTATATATATATATATTTCTTTTTCGTCTCTTTATCTTTTCAGAAATACAAAATTGTTTCAGGAAATTTCTTCCCTGCCAGTTTTTTGATTTTTGGTTCGTTCTTCAATCAATCTCCCCTCTCTCTGATTCTCTACCGCTGCAACCTCGGCTCAAATCTGCCTCATTGTTGTTACCCTTCTCCAATTCTCCATTTCTTCCATTTAATTGTTCCTTTCTATTCCCCTCGTTTCATTTTCTAGGGTTTTCTGAAATTTCCCACGAATTTTTCGAGAGAGGAAGGCCATTTTGTGGCCTCGAGCTGCTGGGTTGTGCCCGATGACCTATCATGAGACGGAGAACGGCCGGGGAGGAGGAGAAGTGGTGGTTGCGGAGGATATCACCGTGGGAATTGGATGTGACCGTAATAACAATGGGGATTACGTTACATTGGGGCAGACTCCTCGCAATTGTGAAGCGGAGGTGCCCTCGCATGGGGGTTCTGAGCCTTGTTCTCCCGGACGCTCTTTGTGGCTTTGGGTTCGGTTGGTGGTGCTATTTGCTTTCTTGGGGTTATTAGCTGCTGTTTTTTTCAAATGGGTTGGGCCCTTTTTCATGAATAAGGTCAGTATATTTGTGTTGAATTTGAACGCAATCGTGATTTTTCCATCATTATAAAGTTTTGTTTGCTTGGACTTTGCTTTCGTATTAGATATATATATATTTTTTGGTTGAATTCTTCATGCAATGGCATTGTCTATCCTGTTGTCTTCTGGGTTTGATTTACTAACTTTGCTTAAGAATTCTGTTAATTCTTATAATTGATGATTGAGGGTTCTGTAATTTCTGACTATATGGCCGGAAAACAAATGGAGATACTTACTTGCATGTGTTTTAACCTTTAGGAGTTCATTTCAAACAAATGATGCAGCTGTTCTGTTCGGTTGTTCTTAAGTTTTGTGGTGTTTATTGCTTCTGGGTTTTTGATTTTAATCCTTTAAAAACTTGTCCATAATGTTTCTTGTTGTGTCACCATTTAAGAGAATCGAATTCTTGTTGGAGAAATTTCTCCATATGGTAGTTTCTTTCATATTGAAAAGTATTAGATCGTGTGTTTTCTTCTGGTTATGTTATCTTCAAGGGAAAAGGTTATATTATGCAGCTATTACAATGGCCATGCAGTGCATTTATTTCATAATTGACACTAAGATCAATCATAATGTATAACTCTTGAGACTGTTACATTTCACTCATTTAATGACATATGCATTTTTAGCTTATATAAATAGAATTCTCCAAAGTTTTATTTTTAGCCTGACATGTAATTCATTTGCTACAGGAAATAATACCAATTATAAACTGGGAAGCTGAGACGTTTAGTACTCCAGTGCTGGCAGTTTTGGTTTTTACTTCAGTAGCACTGTTCCCTTCATTGTTTTTACCATCTTCACCTTCTATGTGGTTGGCAGGGATGACTTTTGGTTATGGCCTTGGGTTCCTGTTAATTATATCGGCAGTAACTATTGGTGTATCACTTCCATTTTTCATTGGCTCCCTATTCTATCGTAAAATTCAAGTTAGTGCTTGTTTCAAATCTTCATTCTACTTGTTAAACACTCAACACACTTTCTATCCCTTGGTGCTAAACATTTCTTCCTCGTTTTACAGGGATGGTTAGACAAATATCCTAAAAGAGCTTCTGTCTTAAGATTAGCAGGCGAAGGAAATTGGACTCATCAGTTTCGGGCGGTAACACTAATTCGGATTTCTCCATTTCCTTACATTCTATATAATTATTGTGCTGTAGCAACGAATGTCAGATATGGTCCTTACATCTTGGGGTCACTGGTTGGAATGGTGCCAGAAATATTTGTCACTATATACACGTACGTATGCCTAACTTGACCCTGAACCTTACTTATACATTGCATATGTTGAATTCCATATTTATTGAATGCTTGCTTATAAATTTACTTTAAGAATGTTCTCTGACATTTAAAAACATTGGAATCAGCATCATATTCCTGCAGCAAGAAACACAACCGTTCCACACTTTTGCTCAGAAAATCTTCCCACATCAATACAACTTTTTTCTCTAATTAGCTTGGGAATTTTTTTTTTGCAAGGTAAATTGTGAATTATGGAAAGGCCTTGTTCTCATTTAGGTTGATTGTGATCTGACCATATGTTGTCCTTTATAAGACATTGGTCCAAAAGATATTCATTCAACTTCTCCATTGACTTCTTATGTTCGTGTCTTATTGAACAAAAAGTACATTAGGATGAAATTTATGGATAACTCTCAATTTTTTTAGAGGTGGTGGGTGCAGTGGAGATAACGCATGATATGACCGTGTTATTATAGTAAACTAAATTGAATGACATAGGAGAGCTTACTAATGGTTGCCTCCTGTTGACAAGAAGATATGGAAATTTCTAAAATGATTGATTTGTGTTAGCCACCCCCATCATCTGATCATGCCCACAGTATGTTATTTAGATTATGATTAATCTAAGGCGAAATAAGCTTTGAAATTAACTGATGCTCTTTCACAAATAGATCAGTTGATTATTTGAGTGTTAGACAGTTTATCTTACTCAAAAATATACCTTACTATGTTCTTTTTTCCTTTTCTTGAAATGCTTATAGAATACCTATTTACCTAAACTTTCATTACCTTCCTGTTCTACTGCAGCGGCATTTTAATCAGGACATTGGCCAATGCTTCGCAAAATCAGCAGTTCCTCTCAGCCCCTCAGATTGTATTCACCGTTGTTGGCTTTTGCGTTACTGCAGCTACGACGGTTTTCTTCACTGTATATGCAAAAAGGAAACTCAAGGCATTGCAGACAGAAGATGAGCAATTATTGCTGTTGTAAGGCTTCTTCCCTAGCCGGGTTAAAGTTGCTTATTCTCAAGCACATAGAGCTGCTGGACAATATAATGATTGAACCGACCAAACAAATTCGTATCCACGGTGGTTTCAAAGAAGCTTCAAGTAGTGGTACAGAGAAACAAAGAAATAATGCAAATATCATACACCAGATAATCATAGATTGATTACAAAACTCATCCAAAAGCCATCGGAATCAAGCGAAACAAGTATGTTGTCTTTTATCCCTTTGTCTGCTTTTCAAATCTTAATTGTAATGGTTGGAATGAGCTATTATGAAATATTGGACTGGACTGGATTGGATTGGATTTAGGCAAATGCAGGAGATCTGTATATGGAAACGTTTTAGTTTTGTTGTTTGCTGCTGATGGTACATAATATTATTCATTCTTCTGTTTCTGAGTTCAATGTTTCACAAATAGTAAAACGTTGAATCAATGTATACAATGCCCATCATTTTTTCTCTTTCAATTTACATTATTGAAGCTCTGTTGGCTTCACATGGAAGTCCTTTGTGTCTGCCTTTATCTGTATGTTTGTGATGAGACAGAAGGATAATTCCACCATGAGACGTAAGTATCTAAAAAATAATTCTTGTTGCTGCTGGCTGCTAGGGTCCTATTTTCATCCATTGATTAGTTAAAATGGGTTACTGTTTCTTTTGGACTCTTCCTTGGAAGAAGAATATCCCAGTTTCTTTTCATGTCACAGGTCAAGTGTACAAGTTATGGAAAATTAGACCCTCTCCTGAAAAAGACTATGGGTTAAATTATAATGGTTCTGACATAGTTGTGTCGAATAGGTTCTCAACTTTGAATAGATTCTTAACTTTAAATGGTCTCGAACTCGAACATTTGTATCTAGAGACCTATTCCATACAAGTCTAAACATTTACTAAACATATTTTAAGGACACGATTCCAGAAGTTTAGACTTAGTAGATACTTTTTTAAGTCTCTACTTATTAGTTCATGGAATAAATTTGTAATTAACTCAAACTCTCTTTTGTGTCATGTTTAAGTCTAATGAAGTTTATTGGTATAGGAAGAAACTCCAATAAGCTCTATAGAATGGAGGCCTTTTTTCTTTTTCGTCTTTCAATCAAAGATCGGTACTTTTCAAGGTAATCCATTGTTAAAATCTCGTTTGATAATCATTTTATTTTTAGTTTTATATCTTTGAAAATCATAGATGTAAACACTACTTTCACAATACATGTTCTGCATCTACTTTTTTAAAGATGTTTCAAAAGTCCAAAAGAATAAATTTCAAAAATCTATTTTTGTTCTTTAAATTTGGCTAAAAGTGGAAGCATACTAATAAGTTTTCAAAAACATGAAAACTAAAAATGAAATAGTAATAGAATTGGATTTACAAATTGTTTATTAAATGGGTTTACAAACTTTTTATAAAATTCTAGAATTTGAATGGATGTTTTTTTAAAGTCCACTAAAATTGGTTTTTTTAACGATTTTATTTCAATTGGAATGGTGTGCTTGTCAACTATAAGGTAGTGGCGTCTATGATTAGAAAACTTAGGAGAAGGAACTATCATTCATAAGGAGTGGTATCAATCAATAAACTTTTTTAATTTTTTTATTAGATATATTTAATACATTTTTTTTTCAAGAATATATATTGCTTAGGAAATAGATTTGAACCCACTACTCATAATGATATACAAATGTGGTTGAAATTGATTGGATCATCATATGATACAGGCACGATGACCATGATAAATTTAGTTATATCATTTTTAATACAAAGTAAATAATATACTCAAAGTTAAACTATTATTATTATTATTTTGTCAATGATAATTCAATGGATAAGACACTTATTACTCATTAAGGTTGAAAATATGGTCTTTAACCCGATATTTTTTGAACTATAGAAAAGTTCAATTTTTCTTTTTAATAATCTAAGAAAATTTAATCTTATTAATTTGTATTTTTTTTAGCTTAGAGAGATCAAACCATTAACCTTTGGATTTTCTCTGTTCAAATTGACAGTATGTTTGTACTTTAATTAGAGCATATAAATTGAGATGATACAATATAACTTTGAAAAAGAAGGCGTCAAAAGCTCCTAGATTCGTAGGCATCTTAAAATGTATCTGCATCATGGGATTCATGTGTATTTTTTCTTGGGGTGTCCATTTTTCCATGGATACCCATCTTAAATGGAGCGGAGAATCATTGTTTAGGCCCCCGCAAGTGAGGATGGGGGAGGTTTTTTCCCTGCCACCTAAACGGGGATGAGA